CACTCACTAGCTGTGTGACCCTGGGCAAGTCACTCTATCGCTGTCTGCCTCCGTTTCCTCATCTCTAAAATAGGGATAATAAGGCCGATATTTCACAGTGTCATTGCGAGGAACAACGGAGTTCAAGTGAGTAATCATCATTCTCCTTGTTGTTTGTCCTTCCTTCTCAAAGAGGACCACGACATCAGGGAGGGGGTGCTGTGACACGCAAGCGAGTTGGCTTTCAGTGAGGCAGGGCTGTGCAGAGTCCCCAGCCTCACTCTCTCCTCCGGAGCCACAAGAGGAAGAGGCTATAGCGCAGGCAGCACGGGGCTTGGAGTCTCAAAGACCTGCCTCTAAGTCACGCCTCAGACAAGCACTTCATGATCAGGCATGTCGTGGAAGCTCTTTGAGTCTCAGTGTCCTCATCTCTAAAATGAAGCAGCTGGACTTTATGACCTCTAGATGGCCTTTCTAGGCCTAAGCTATGATCCTCAGTAAAACATGCTGCAAGCCTTAGAGCACTTTATAAATGCTAGTTATTATTAACATTACATTATTACTTATTACTAATATTAGTATTGTGACATTGACAAGTGCACTCAGCATATTGGTTCGGCTTAATTTTCTTTTGTGTTACAAAGGAAGGTTTGATTAGTGGAGTGGGGGCAGGGGTAAATCCAGAAATAACCATGATGGGTAGAAAAAAGCATCAATAAAAGTTGCTTTTTTTTCTCAATTTGGAGAAATGAGCCCGAGACAGTTCAAATAAAAGCCCTCCTGACATCTCCATTTTTTTCTCCAGCTACCAGAAATTCTGGTTTTAAATTGCTCTCCAGATAGATAAAATCAGTGCTTCCACCAGATCCTAGAGGGCAAAGTCTTTTTTTCAAGTTCTAGCACCCCACCTCCCAAACACATTCAGTGAGAAGCAGGAAGGATGCAGAGGGAGAGAAAATGAAGTGAGATGTGCATAAGGTGGGTCAAGTTGCTCGCCTTCTCAATGGGGGGGGGAGGAAGGGAGAGAATTTGGAACTCAAAGTTTTAAAAATGAGTGTTAAAATTGTTTTGACATGTAATTGGGAGAAAATAAAATACTAAAATAATTTTTTAAAAAGAAAATGAAGTGAGATTAGCAGGTTCTGCTCCGTCTCAGGGACTGTCGTGGAATCATAAACTTAGAGGGAGAAGAAGCTTAAGAGATCCTCTATTCCAACCATCTCATTTTTCAGATGAGGAAACTGAGGCTCTGAGACATTAAATGACTTAGCCAAGGTCACACAGGCAGGAAGTGGCAGAACCAGAATTAGAACTCTTATCCTCTTAACACTGTACCATTCTGGTAACAAGTCAACTACCCCTAGAACCCTGGTTCTGGAGTTAGAAGAGCTGAATTTGAATTTTGAAAAATAATAATTAATAATAGCTAGTATTTATGTTGGAGGCAGGCAGGTAGCTCAATGGATAAAGCGCTGGGCCTGGAGTCAGGAAGACCTCTGTTCAAATCCTGCCTCAGACACCAACTAGGTGCGAGACCCTGGCTGAGTTGCTTAACGCTGTTTGCCTCAGTTTCCTCATCTGTAAAATGAGCTGAAAAAGAAAATGGCAAACTACTCCAACACATTTGCCAAGAAAGCCCCAAATAGGGTCGCAAAAAGTCAGCCACCGCTGAAAAATGGCTCCACCACAGCACCCCCTCTCCATCAGTCGATAAACATTTATTGAGCTGCTACTACGGACCGGACCAGACGCTGAGCTAGACAGTGGAGATGCAAAGTCAAAAGGCAGTCCCTGCCCTTAAGGAGGTTCCAGGCCAACAGGAGAGAGACAAATAGGAAATGATTAAGAGAGGAAGGCACAGGAGTTAAGGGGCTGAGGGAAGCTTTCTGGGGGAGGTGGGATTTTGGCTGGGACTTAAAGGAAGCCAGGGAAGGTGGTAGGCAGAGATGAGAAGGGGGTGGGGGACAGCTAGGTGGTGCAGTGGATAGAGCACCGGCCCTGAAGTCAGGAGGAGGGCCTGAGTTCAAATCCGGCCTCAGACCAAACACTTGACGCTTACTAGCTGTGTGACCCTGGGCAAGTCACTTAACCCCAAGTACCTAAAAAAAAAAAACAGACGAGGAGGGAGAGTGTCCCAGGCAAGGGATACAGCCAAAGCAAAAGCTTGGAGCCAGACTGAGGAGCATGTGCTAGGAAACGAGGTGCAAGAAGCCTAGGGGACAAGGCTCAAGAAGACTAGAAAGGCAGGACTGAAAATCTGTCCTCTTTTGCCTTCTGAAATGACCAGGGATTGTATCATTTGTATGTAATTCTGCAGGTCCATTTGTATGTGTTTATTTGGTATGTATCCTTAGTAAACTATAACCTCCCTGAGGGGAGAGATGACTGAAGTGAATTGAACCAAGTCCCTCCAGCACTGGGGAATTCATCCCATCCCTAGCAGACCATTTGCCTTTCGAATAACTCTCATTGATAAGAAACTTTCTGTATTATCGAGTCAAAATCTCTGTCTTTCCAGCTTCCATCCATTGCCCCTAGGACTGTCCTCTGAAGTCAGTAAACAACCTTCTTCATGTGGAATGGCCCTCAGGCTGCCAGGCTGGTGCTGAACTTTAGCCTGGTAATGCAGCCTTATTTTCCAAATACTATGTTCCAGGTTCTTCACTGTCCCACCACACACAAGTACGTGCAGCCCCCCACATGTGATGCACATTCTAATCTCTATGCTTTTATTCTCAGCTGCCCCCTCCATCTAGACCACTCTGACACCCCATCTCCATCTATCCTAATGCAACTTCTCCTTTGGAAGTCAGGTCGAATCTCACTTTCTCCATGAAGCCTCCATCCTACGCTGAGCTCTTCTATACTACACTTCCCTTATCACTGTTTTCCTATACTATATATTCCAGCACTAAATAATTGTATTCTATTCTCATCTTCACATATTGTTTTGTCTGTTTTTGTTGATTTCCCCAAGGAGACTGCAACCTCCTCACGGCAAGGGCCCATGTCTGCTACATCTTCTGCATCTCTGGGTATGTACTTACAAGACCTCGACAAAACACTGACTGGAGAATATCACCCCTGACAGCTTGGTGAGTACAGGAATAACCTTCCCTGTTTCTCTTGGGTATCACATGCAGTGGTGAGTCTAGAACTTTACCTCAAAGGTTGGCAAAGGTGCAGTTAAGAACAGGAGTCAGGTTTTGAAGAAGCCGCTTTATTTCTGATGGGTTCTGATAATAATAGACACATACAGGGCTGTGAAGTTTGTGATGTGCTTTCCATACAGAATTTCATTTGAGCCCTGAAAAAAAAATTCTATGAAATAGAATGGTATTGCCATCCTCATTTTATGGAAAAAGAAACTGAGTGTCAGAGAAGGTAAGTGACTCACCAAGGGTCATACAGCTAGTTAAGTATCAGAGGTGGGATTTGAACCCAGGTCTTCCTGATGCCAAGCCCCATACCCTATCCACTATAGTATGCCCTCTTTCAACCAAAATGGGGGATGATGAAGATGAGCCAGTATTTTGTCATTTTCCCACATTTGGATTCTAATTGCTTTTCTTCAGTTAGAATTGTCCGACCCAAAACTCTGCTTTATTTTTATTTCCTGTGGAAGAGAATGGGAAGGTTGGGTTTATCTCCCTTTGAGAATGTGGAGCCCTCCAATTTGGATGGATTTATATGCAAATAAATATGATGAGTTCAATGGAAATGAACCAGAAACAGATGGATGACATCTTTCTAAAATTAGACATGAGCTTAAAAGTTAAAGAGGATTTGACAAAAAAAAAAGAGCATAAAATTAAATGGAATACCTTCCAAAACCTTGTGCAAGTTGTCTCTTGAGGCCAAAGATCATTTGAGCCATCCTTATTAAAGACTACAGAAATAGATTTGGAAGTATCTTTCTTTTTTTATTAGCTTTCAATTATTTCTCCTTGAATAGGCAACCTAACTCCCTTCTTAGCTAATCCTTGTCAGGCCTTCCCAAGTGAGCAATCCTCATGTGTACCTTCACAATTATTTGGTTACTCATTTAATAGAGAAAGATAGACAGGAAAGCTTGAAAACCACCCTGAGTCTTTTTTGTTGCCATGGACCTGACTTCAGCACTAAGTAGTAGAAATGAGAAAACTTATCCTTATTTTACTTGAATGCCAACTTTAATGCCTGAATCTTTGTACTTTAGCCAAAGAAGACACTTTCTTCTTCAGACTACCGATGCACGATAAGTGAATAGGACATTATAGGATTCTAATAATAGCATTTAAAGTTTTTCAAGGCACTTATCTATACATTTTCTCACTTAAACTTCCTAATCTTAAGTGAACAACCCTACAGTCAAAGAAACTATTTTGCCCACCTACTCCCTTGTGCCCTCTGGAATTCTGATTACACAGTGAACATATTTCCCTTCATTCTGGACTTACTGTCATACTCTTTCCATTCATTTGCTCTCACTGAGGCTTCACATCTCTCAGACAACATGGCATTCCTAATTCTCCATCACTGGTTCTAACTCCACAGTCCTAGCAGACTTTGACCCATCTTGCATTGTGAAACACCTTGGCATCATCATTCACTCATCATTTCCCCCCCCAGTCTCTGAAAATGAAATGTCCCATCTTCTTCCCATGTCCATCCCCTATACATGTGCCTTTGATACCTTTCCTCCCATAATCTTCAACAGAATGCCAGTCGGTCAATAAGTATTTAACAAATATCTACTGTGTGCCAGGCACTATGCTAAGAACTAGGGTTTCTCTCTTGGAATCTTCAACCTGTCTCTATCTCCTAGTTCCCTTCCTGCTCTCCTCAAACATGCTCAAGTGTCCCCCACCCTTTAAGGAAAAAAACCTCCATTACACCCTTCTTTCCCCTCATTCATTCATATCATTCTATATTTCCCCACCCCCTTTCTCAGGCAAACTTCTAGAGAAAAAAAAACTGTCTACACTCATTGCTGTCACTTGCTTTCTTCTCACAATATAACCCTTTGTAAGCTGCCTTCTGCAGTTTCTCTCCCAAGTTGCTAAGAATCAGGCTCTAATTGCTAAATCTGATGGTCTTTTCTCAGTCCAAACCTTCTCAGCCTCTCTGCTGCATTTCACTTCACTGATCACTGTCTCCTGTTTGACGCCATCTCCTCTCTGGGGTTTTGGGGGCATGAATGTCTCCTGGTTCTTCTCCTGCCTATATGATCTCTCTTTCTCAGTCTTCTTTGTTGGATCATCATTGATACAGTGCTTTCTTAACTGGGGGATCTCTGTCCTTGACTCTATTCTCATGAGCTCCTATGTTTGTCATCTCTGTGCAAATGACTCACAGATCTATCTATGCACTCCAATCGCTCTTGTGAGCTGCAGTCCCAGCTGCCTCTTGGATGGCAACTAAATGCCCAGAACCATCTCAAACTATTATGTCTAAAATTGAACCCATCATCTTCCTCATCCCCACAAACTTTCCCCACTTTCAAACTTTCTTATTTGTGTCAAATGCCATCCCCCCAGGCAACTCACATTAATCTACTTCATATTTATGCATAAATTTCTTATGTATTATGTATCTACTTCTAGTCATACTTGTCTTCCCCATTAGACTGTAAAGTCCTTGAGAGGAGGGATCATTTCTTCCTTGTCATCAGATTTCCAGTTTAGCATGGTGCCAGCCACATAGCGAGTACTCAGTAAATGTTGTTCATTTGGTTGATGAGCAGTTTTAATGTGAAGATTAAACAGCAATGCCCTTTGTTCAGGAAGTTTTAGGAGAGATTCTCAGTCAGGTAAAGTTTAGATTAGGAGATCTGAGGTCACTTCCAACTCTAAGATGGATTTTGTCATTCTGTCAATTTATGAAGTAGGGATTCTTAAATTTTTTCTGTCATTAGCCCCTTAGTAGTGTGGTAAAGCCTTATGGACCCTGCTTCTCAGAATCATGTTTTTTTTAAAAATGCATACTTGAAAGAAATGGTGAGTCTCATTTGGAGATTAATCAAAATTAAAAATGTATTTTTCTAATTTAAATTCATAGATTTGCCCATGAAATCTACCCAGAGACCCCAAGGGATCCCAGATATTGTCTAGCTGGTTCAGTACGACCGTTTCTAGATGAGTGAAGATATTCCCTAATAGCATGACTGGAGCTGCTATGTGGGTTGGCAACCATTCAAGGTTGCCCCATCTGCACCCCCCGGACACGTGAGTTCCTTTTCCTGCTGAAAAGAAGATGAGCGTGGAGACAAAAGCTCCAAGTCACTCTTTGTGAATTATGTGGAAAGAGAACAATCTTGAAATAACTTGAATAGCAAACCTCAGGGTAATGAGATCTTTGAAAGCACCAAAACATAACGTTACAGAAAAAATAGCTGCAAAGAAATTCCCCCCCTCAAAAAAAAACCACCCTATCATGTCATAGCACTCAATCTAATCTAATTGTCTCTGCTTTCAGAACATGGTCAATTCAGATCACATTTCTGTAGTGACTTGAAGTATTAATACTGAGCTCAATGTATAATGTTTATTAAGCAGCAGCATATTGATTTATCCTTTTTCTCATAGCTATATCAGTGCTTTTCCTAAATGAGAAAATACTGTCTTATGATAGCTCCCTCAACCTCACTGTCATTCCTCACTCTAGTATGGAGTCACCCAAACCAAGGCATTGCTTACACTGGAATGACTCCAAATGGAATGGTTGGGCAAGTTTGACAAATATCCCACTAAATATATTGTCAAACATGGGTTCTTAACCTTTCGCTCTGTCATGGACCCTTCTGGCAGCCTGGTGAAACCTCTGGACCCCTCTTAGTGTTAATGGCTCCACATGACAGATGAGGAAACCAAGTCTCAGACAGCTGATGTGCCTTGCCTACAGTCACAAATCCATTAAATGTCAGGACAGGATTTCAACCATACTTCTCGTGAATTCCAACCCAATGTTCTTGCCACTATGACATGCTCCCTCAGCAAGTGGGCATTTTATTTTCTTCCTTCCTTTTTTGGGGTAGTTCAGCAATTGAGAAAAGGCAAAACATGTTGACTCCTGTCTTTACTCATATCTATGCCCTTGGTGTTCTGCTAAGTAGTGAGAAACCAGGCCACTCTTAACACCTCACCATCTGGGAAATCAAAAAGGGCTTCTCACAAAGAGAGTTTGAAAAAACTGTTTTTGTGCATTCCCCCCAAAACAGAAGTCTGTTCATTTCATGTCTAAGTACTATGTCTTCTTTGCCTTCAACTCTGAGATTGCATGATTCTGTGAAGCTGGAAAGCAGCCAGACCTAAAACCAAGGCAGTTTCAGGTGGAGGGGAGGGGGACTCCCCAGTACAGAGGAGAGTCCCCTGTGGCTAAAGTTGTGTCAGGAGTGTTTGGTCCACCACTCAGAAGTTCCTGGCTCTCACCCTCCCAGGAAGTACAGAGCCCCAGGAGAGGGGCAACACAAAACCCTGGGGTGGGTCCAGGGGGGAAAGATGTGACACGTTTGCACCCATAAGTCTGGAAACCACAAGGTATAGTATAGGGATGATGGGAGCCACAAGAAGGAAATGCATTCTCTAGGCAGAAAACACTTCACCCACCAAATATCAGCACCCTGGACAAAGCTCTCTTTGCCTTGAACAAGTTGCAATTCTGGGTATCAATGTATATTGTATTTCCAAACTTATTTCTATCACTATTTCAGAAACCTTAAACTGTTCCCTTTTTCAAACAACTAAACAAAGGAATTGAGGTTTCATGGAGGACAAAGTAGAAAAATCCCAGTTCCATTAAGGCTACTAATTTAATAGAACACGCTTTTCTCTTAGAATTCTTTAGCAGATCACAGGGATTAAGTGTGTGCATGCATGTGCAATCCTGTTAATAACCCGCCCTAGGAGAATGATGGAACATATGGCTCCCTTCATGCTAATGACTTGGGTCTTGCTCTTTGCAAGGAACAGGTGTCACCAAACAGACATTAAGGGGAACTTGAACAGAAATGGCCACCTCAAAGATTAAGGAAGTTCATTTCAAATCCTATCAAGTGGAAACAGTTTCAGTTCTTCAAATGTGTGAATGAATGAATAAAAACACTTGTATGTGCCATGTGTGTGTGCCATGTGTGTATGTGTGTGTAAAATACCACAAGTTTTCAACATTCAACTCAAACCGGGAACAAGAAATTAAACTTTCACACTTGCGCATTCCATTTACTGAGGTTGCCCTGAAGGCCCAAAGGAATTTTGATTTCTACAAACTTGAGGCTGTTTGGTGAGACTACAAGTAGCCATTTCAGGGCCCTGTATTTGTAGTTTGGCCAGAACACATGGTAAATGCATCAGGGGGGATATATTTGTTCTTGGACTGTGTGGATTCCAAGTGGGAAAACATGTTCATGGTTTTCTGGTTGAGAACTGATAGAAGAAAGGGTAGAAAGAGGAAGTAATGCTTGGTTAACAAGATAAGAGTAATTAAAAGTTCAGCTACATGTTTGATGAGCCTACCTCTTAGAAGTCATACACTGCCCTGGCACTTTGACAACAAGAGAGTGAAGCTTCTCTATTGGACTCGTTGAAAGGACTTCTTAAAGGTTACCTAGAGATGTGGCAGGGGTGACCAGGTAGTGTAGCACCTGGATGGAGCACCAGGCTTGGAGTCAGAAAGACCTGAGTTCAAATCCAGGCTCAGGGACACTTACTAGCTGTGTGACCCTGGGCAAGTCACTTAGCCCCATTTGCCTCAGTTTCTTCATCTGTAAAATGAGCTGGAGAAGGAAATAGCAAACCACTCCAGGATTTTTACCGAGAAAACCCCAAAGGGGGTCACCGAGTCTGACACGAATAAACACTTAGACAACAAAAGAGATGTGACCTGTCATTCATGCTGTCATTGGTTCCTTTCTGATTCACTCAAGGGTCTCCTTTGTACCTCATAAAGTGATCACTGGCATGCATAAAATTTTCAGTTAAATTAGTACTTTATTATTGCTCTCTTTTCAATAATGAAGTTTGTGAAGGGCCAACTCCTTTACAAAAAATACATACAGAGTAGATGGAAGGTAAGCTTAGAGGCCTTGGAAGTTTTGAGGACTAGGAAAGCTCTCCAGTAGAAAGTAGTATTTGGACTCAGTCTTAAAGAAAGACAAAATTCTAGGAAGCGGAGATAAGGATAGAGGACATTCCAGATATGGCAGGCAGCCAGTGAAAAGACATAGAGAATGCCATATTGTGGAATGGCAATTACTTGTACAACTTGCACTAAAGTTACTTTTTCTGGAAGTTTCCTGTATGCATTATTGACTCCAGGTAAAATATAGCAAAAGGATCAGGGATTTTGGTATCAATTGCCCAAACACCAATCAATGGCTATTGACAGTTCAATAATCAGTTGTGCTAGAAGAGCCAACACTTTGCTTTTCATGTGACTTTCTGACCACATGAACACGTGTCAGAGATTAATTCATGGAGGAAATTACAAATCACTGCTTTAAAGGCATGTCAACTCTGGGCTCGTAGCTTGTAATCAGTTCATATTTTATTTCTAAGCAAACTACTTACCTCTGTCTCCTCACAGAGAAAATGATCAATATAGATAACCTCACTGCCATAATCTATACCCTGGGGAACAGAAAAATTATAAATTGTTTTAGCATCAGTGCTGAGTCTGAGAGCTTTAGTGAATATGCCAGACTTTACCATATCATTCTGAACACCTAATGAAAACTCTTAACATCTTTTCCCAGCATGCAATGGAAGGATAAATGAAGCAGGACCAGATTTTTCAAGGTTACTCTCTGTTTTCATTTGCTCAATATCCTGGTTTGAAGTAAATGCGGAGTTGTTCAAAGACATTTCCATTAAGATTTTAGCCCAGCTCTTTATGGGATAGGATTCGAGCTCATATCTCTCCCCTCCTACACCTGCCCTGCCTTTTCCTGGCAAACCAACGTAGAACTGCAGGGCATGCTCTAAGGCCAAGTGTACTTTAGAAGGTCTAGAAATTGAGCCTTATCTCCTTCTGAATTCCCCCTCCCACCACACACACACACACACACACACACACACACACACACACACGCACGCGCACGCGCCCACCTAAGGAAAGGGAACGATTAAGGTTTCTCCTCGACTCCTAGACCAGTAAGGAATTCACTCCAGGAACTAACGTTGGATAGTAGGAAGGCTAATGGGGTTAGGGTGAGATTTTCAGTCACCCTACATCCAAATAGGGTCAGCATCACTGGATTTCAAGCAAAGTGGAGAAAGGCTGTGTAATGAAGTTGAACTACTTCACTTTTCGAAGGTGAAAAGATATTGAAGGAACTGGGAGTGTTTGACCTGGAGAAAAGAAGACTTGCGGAGGATGTGATAGCTAAAAATGATAGCAACTTATGCTGCCTGCTGTATGCCAGGCACTGTGCTAAGCAGTTCATAGTCATGATCTCATCTGAGCCGCACAGCAACCAGGGGAGATAGCTACTACGATTCTCTACCTTTTACAAAGGATGAAACAGGTTAAATAACTTTCCCACAGTCACACAGCTAGTGTCTGTGGCCAGATTTGAACTCAGATCTGCCCAACTCCAAGACCAGCACTCTATCTGATGTACCACCTGCTGCCTCTATCTGCATTCACATTTTTGAAGGGCTAGATGGTTCAGTCAATAAAGCCCTGACTCTGGAATCACAAAGACCGGAGCTCAAACCCAGCCTGAGACATTTACTAGCTGTGTGACCTTGGGCAAATCATTTAATCCTTATTTGCCTTTATCCACTGGAGAAGGAAATAGCAAACCACTCCAGTATCGTCTGCCAGGAAAACCCCACGGACAGTATTGGCTTGCTATAGTCCAGGGGGATGCAGCTGAACAACAGGGACACGTGGAAGAGAAATTTACTTTGTTCCTCTTGGGCCCAGAGGGAAGAGCTCGGAGCAGCTGAGGACATTGCAAAGAGATCTCAGCACTGGCCCCTCCTCCAGATCCCACCCTGGCTCTGGCCGAGGGCCTCTTCTCTCTTCCCCCTAGACTACTTCCCTTGGCATCTCAGCAGCTCTCCCGGATTTAATGACCATCTCTGTGCTGGTGACTCTCTCATCTATCTTGCCTGCCCCATCCTCTCTGCTGATCCCCAATCTTGTCTCTCCAAATGCCTTTCAAATATTTCAAACTAGAAATCCAGTAGACATCTTATACTCAACGTATCCAAAACAGAACCTTTCCATCTAAACCCTCCCCTCCTACTTTTCCTATTACCGTCAAGAGCAACACCATCCTCCCAGTCCCTCAGGCTCATAGCCTAGGAGTCATCCTGGACTCTTCACTACCTCTCACCCTCCGTATCCAATATAGTGCCAACGGTTGTCAATATTTCCTTTATAACATCTCTCCAATATATCCCCTTCTCTCCTCTGACGCTGTCAAATACCCTGGTACAGGCTCTCATATCTCTACACCTGGAGCATCCCAATGGACTGCAATTCGGCCTGGCTGGCGCAAATCTCTCCGCTATCCAGTCCACCCTCAACTCGGTTGCTAAAGCAGTTTTTCTAAAGCACAGGTCCAACCGAGTCATCCCCACAACACACACACATACACAGATGTTCAATAAGTTCCAGGGGTCCTCTATAGCCTCTGGGATCAAATACAAAGTGATAGAAATGCTAATTGCAATTAGGAAAAAAAAGACAAAGAAATTAAAAGCTTAAACATTGGCAAAGAAGACAAAAAGCTATCCCTACCTTCAGACTACATGGTAGCATACTTAGAAAACCTCAGAGAACCAGCAAAGAAATTAAATAAGAAATTAATAGCTCTATTTAACTAAACGAATATAAAATAAATCCTTTCAAATTATCAACATTTTTGGAGCAGCTAGATGGCGCAGTGGATAGAGCCCCAGCCTTGGATTCAGGAGGACCTGAATTCAAATACGGCCTCAGACACACAACACTTACTAGCTGTGTGACCCTGGGCAAGTCCTTTAACCCCCATTGCCCAACCAAAAGAAAAAAAAGGAAAAAAAATTATGAACATTTTTATACAACAGTAACAAAATCTAGCAAGAAATACTAGAAAAGAAATGTCCATTCACTATAACTACAAAACATATATGTATCTGATTAAGTTACAAAGAGCCAAATCTTGATTCCATCAAGAAAAACTTACTAATAATTAGAGTTTTAAAAAAATTGAATAGGCTTCCTCAATCAATCAATTAATAAGTATTTCTTAAGTACCAAGCACTTTGCTAGGCACTGGGGATATAAATACAAGAAATTACTTTCTACTCTCAAGGAGCTTACATTCTGCCTCTGAAGACAGCAGATGAGACCTTTTTAAAAGAAAAAAGAGCTTTATAAGGGAGCTGACATGCAGCCATGGAGAGGAGGGAAAGGAGAGGAGACATTATTCAGTGCATAGCTGCCTATGTGATTCATACGTCACCATAAAGAGGCATAGTGCCAAGAAGAAGGCCGGTAGCCTGTCATATGTAGGGGTGGGGTGAGATGGTAAAAGTCTTGAATTTAATTATCTCTGTGAATGTTGTATCATGCTCAGGAGAATGTAAGGTCCTTGAGGGCAGAGACTATTTCACTTTTGTCTTTGCATCCCCAGCTCTAGCACATAGTAGGAGCTTAAGAAATATTTATCGGCTGCTGAGGCTTGAGAATTTTTCATTGTTAACGTGTTTGGAATTTGGGCTAAATTATGTAGTTCATTCACTTCCATTTCATTGAATAAGACTCATATATTAAAAGGCCAGCATCCTGGAGAGTTTAGCCAATCCATTAACAAGCACCTAAGTACATATTATGGCCTATGTCTAGGCTTTGGAGATTCAAAAACAAAAATGAAAATGTCTGTCATCAAGGATCTTGCATTTTCTCAACAAAGATTACATGGACATAGGTAAAGATGTACATATTAATTTTAAAAAAAAACAACTATAAATAATTTAAAGAAGCCCTAACACCTGGGGGCATGGGGGCAGGAAGGAAGGGCCTCTCATACCCTTAGGGAATGGCATCTGAAATGAGTCGAAAAGGGTGGAGGGAGGTAATTCCAGGCAAGGAGGAACAGCCAATGCACAGGCATA